AAATAATATGAACAGTTGCTTTAAGGAGTTTCCAATAACCATTTTTATTTTTTACTATTATTTTCATTCTATTTTATACAAGACAATAATATTTCTATTTCTATCTAATATTTCTCATTATTATTCTTATTTAAAAATATATCCAAATTTTAACACCTATCCCTATATTATAATATATTACATGAAGTTAAACTATTATTAAAAATAATGAGCTTAAAAATATGATGGTATACTTTATTAAATAAAATAATAGTTTATCTCAAATTAAGATATTATGACATATTAACTAAGTGGATTAGGAATTATGTGATGTACAGAATAATTTTAAAACATGATCTTCCTTTATACAATTTAAATCAGACAAATAAATTAGGTATATTTTTCCTATTACTGTTTTATAACTATTAAAACGTTCTTCATTATTCCAAAAGCATTATTAACCTACAAATACAAACAACCTTGAACAAATAGGTATCCACTACACACGATCAACAACCAAAATAATAATTGTCATTTTTTAACACATTAACCCTGTATTAAAATAAAAGATACTGTAGGTACTAGTAATCTAAAAAAAATGTATAAAGCTCAGGGTAATTTTGATGGAAAAAAATGTGGTCATGACCTACTCAAGTTTTACCCACATAGTACCTACCTATAATATCAGGTAACCCATTTATTTTTTTAATTTGGTTAAAACGAATTTTTCAGGTGACATTGATTTCTTTTATATTTGCTATATAATCTAGTTTTTAAACTTACCCTAATTTAGATACACTGTAAAAAACAACATAAAATAGTGTTTTGTTTTTTTTTTTTTTTTTGTATGTATATTATGTGCGTAGTGGCAATTTTTATAATTAACAAAAAACTTTTAAAAAAACAAGATGGTAGTTGTCTGTACGAGCTGTGCGACCGCCAATTGGGTTGGATTAGTGTGTGGTAAAAAAATAGCGAAAAAAATCTTTTAATTCGTAGTTGAATTGACTTTTTTTTCTATTCCTTTACAATATAGGTAGGTAGGTACATGCACCACGCACACAAGTATATTTCACATAGTCAACTAAAAAATATAATTTAGTTCGTATACAATGGTGGTCTACTAGTCTAGTGCGTAACGTTAGGAGCCTGTTCCATTTGTCTATGCTCATATTATAATAGGGCTTATGTTTTTATTTTTGTTTTTGCTGCGTGTGACTGAGATTACGTATATCACCGTATACCTACCTGAGTCGTTTAAATGGGCTTACGTGTGGGGTGGAAATAAATGCACTGCGCGACTATATAATATGACTGTCATTAAACGGAAGAAAACACGAAGCTGGGAGGAAAAAAAGAGATTATTCGGTCGGAGACCCGGGTCAGTTTTATTGCACGCCGATCTCACCTAATCCAAGAAGAAATCTGAAAATAAAAATGTCTAAGGAAGAAATGCGTACCTATATAATAATATATATATATATATATATATAGGACGTGCAGATACGGACTACGGACCTACAGGTTCACGCATAAAACCTTGGCTTTAGCACTTCGGATGATGTTTTATGAACACCGAGGACTGAATTTCCTCTCACCGATGTGACGGTAAATATTTCGCACCGGTAATAATGTATACCTATACGTACAGGGTATTTTTTTTATATATATATATATATATATATGTATAATATATAAACATTCCCAGTTACGCTTTTGGAGTTCGGAAACCTACGTAACGATCGCCACAGACTCTCTTCGATCGCTCGACTGTATAGTAATATAATATGTAGGTACTTCCCGTCCGAAGGCAATCCCCCGGTGTGTGTTGACCGATTATTTGTTTTCACATAATATATAGGTAGGTACGTATAATAACCAAACGGTTATTATTATTTTCATTCATAAAAAAAATATTAACACCCAAATTAACATTTTCACATGGAAACTGTATACATGTATAAAATAAGGCATACAAATGGTATTTTTAAAAACCGAAAAAATTTAATCAAACATTATAATATACATAATAATTTTTCTTCGTAAAATTTGACTTTATTAGTTAAACTAATTGTTATTGTTTCAAATATGCTACTAAATAAGGACTCTTCAGTTATTTTAAAAGAGTTGTACAGATTTTATCATGACACAATTGTATTTTATTTAAAATAAGAACAATAAGTAGGTATCTACATTGTATATTTTTTTAATATATTGAGTGGTTAATAGAATGGTAAATATCCAACAAAAATGTCACATAGTAAAAATAATAACATTATAATTATTATTTGTGCATTTTAAAATATAAGTATATATTACATTCATATAAATTATAATTTTCATATCCTTAATAATTTCTAGAGGTTAAATTATTATGTGCATTTATTCGTTCGTTCACAGCCATCTAATAACTTAGGAATATAATTTCAGTGAAAAGTATACGTTTTCAAGAAAAACTACACAATGCTTAGTCCAACAATTAAAATAAAAAACATCCATCAACTTATTAAAAAATAAACTCTGGACAGTTCAAACGGTAAATTAAAAAATAAGAGCACATCTTACAGTTGATAAAATATGGTCTAGTTGAAAAAAATAAAATAGTTCTGTGAAGAATATCTGGGTGGAAGGGATGTGCCCGAATATCACCACAAATGTTAATTGTTATGAATACAACTTTGAAAATGACTGATTAAGGTTAAACCACTGGAATCGTAATGACAGGCTTCACAAAGTATAGTATATAAGCAAATACCATTAGTTCAAATAACTTATGTAAACTCAAAAACCAGTATTTCATTTAAATATACAGTTTCTGTAATGTTTTAAAAAAAATTTATCATTAACTGTTATAATTAAATTTTGTGTTTATATTATTTAATTAACAAGCAACATTAGACCACATACTGTTTTTGTTAAGACTATTCACGAAACTCAAAAGTCAAAAGAATATTTATGAAAGCGATACTTAAGGACTTAGGCTGTTACAATGTTCAAGTACGTGGTTTTAGGTAAGGCACATTATTTAAAAAATAAAAATAATAAGCACTAATTATATTTTAATCTCAATGAAGTAGTTATATCAAAAGTAACCAAATAGTTTTGAGAAATAAAAACTATACTAAACTATACTACTTTTTACCGTTAAGTGATTAACGTAAATAATTCAACAAATAACTTGGAATTACGTGTTTTTTTTTTGTATTGTATAACACTATTAAATACACTCCTTTTTAAAACTTTATTATGAAGCATATTGTTGTGTCATAGACACAAGCTGAGTGCTGACAGTATACAGATATCAATTTTCTCTTAAATTCCAAGTACCATTCTAAAGTTTCGGTTAACTCAATAACATTTGACCGTCTGTATCTTTTTTCCTGTCCTTTTCGATTTGGACAATTTCAACATGCCTGTTAACCATACAATAAGTTATATTGGTTGAAAACTTATATAATGGATCTACTTAAAGACATTGCAGTTTTCTTAGAAAACAATTTTCATTTGTGGGTTTGATATAATAAAAAAATTTTTAGGATCCATCCAAATTATGTACCCAAAAAACAAATCGATTCTGTCATGGTCACATAAGTTATCTTCTGTATTATAAATATTTTACGGCATATACTCGTGAGTGTATAATATATAATATATATATTATTCTATATATTTCCTCTCTTCCTTCCGTCTCTTTTCCCTTCTTCCGGTAACTTCGACCTCCGGTAGAGAAATGATGGATGACAAAGTTGTCTTTGTTCCCCTCCACTCGAAAAACCCACTGCCATTTCCAGAGGAACAACGATGATACACGCGAATTAATACGTCCGCTGACGATCATAACTCATTGTTTGACCGAGATGACAAGGCCGAGATATATGGAAAAAAACATGCATCCCATATATGGCAACAAATTATACGATGGATCATATACATGGAGAACTGACAACATATATGAACTATGTAAACATCAAACACCAGTGTTAGAAAACAACTTTATCGATTAAAAACAATTTTTGGATGGTTTCAATGACATCTCGTTTTAAATAAATCATAGATTTTTGTTTCTACGAATTGGATTCATTTTCTAGATAATATGATTGTCTTAACAATAGTAAAGAATAAAAAATGAATGATAACATGACACAAAACACATTTAGGTACCTACATAACAATGCATATAACTCTTATAAATATGCTACACAAATATATGATTATGATTCTAAATAATTTAAAAAACTTTAATGTCAATATAATATAGGCTTTAAGTAAGGATCATATGCATACCCTTATTAAAATATTTCACTAAATTTAGTAATACATATTGTAATAAGTCTGAACATATTTCGAGCTGTTAGATACTAACTAATATATATAATATATTTAAATACCGTGTGCGATCATGTATTACTGTTAATTGGTTCTGTACTATTCAAACAGTATACAAATCAATAAAAAATCTATTTTATTCAAATAACTAATAAGTAATAATTACGGCATTTTTTCAAAAAACAAAAATTTATTAAAATAATCTTTTTTTAAAACATTATCATTAGTTGTAATGCTCATAAGAAAATATTAAACTAAATTAAAAACAAAAATAAAATGTGAACTTAAATAAGTTCTTATGATGAATACGTAGGTACTAGGTATGTAGTTTAAAATTTATTTTTTTTGTGTATAAACCATTTTAATTTGATATTATTTCCAATGAATATACTACATTGATATTGTATATACTATATACTATATATAGATGTATAAGAGATAGGTCAATCTTTTGAATGACTCAGTCACTCTGCAGTGTATAGCATAAAAATATAAGACGTATTCAGAGTAAGAAAAAAATTGGTATGAAAATCGCACATCCTTTGATAATCGCTATAGCGAAATGTATAGTAAAGAAGTGCTAGAAAATGTAGATATATTCATACACGTACGACGTACACCTCACATATTCTAAATGTGATTTATGAAAAACCATATTCGACAAAAACTTATTTCCGTCGTGCTTTCTGTTGCAGACGTCATTCTATTCTACGTCACTGAAAACGCTCATATCCGTATCCACCATCATTCTGCTGGGTTTGATCATGGCCTACCACGCGCTCGAAGTACAGGTAAGCTTAAAAACCTTTGTATATTATGTGCTATAAAAAATTGTACAAACAACCTTCAAAGTTTCAACTGCAGTGTCAACAAAAGAAAAAAATAGTATACGTCACTTTAACTAACATTCAAAATACAATATCGAGTAACCGGAACATTGAAAAGAAATCTTTTCAAAAACTTTACTTGAAAACTTACTTTACACAATGTAACCACCGATGTCAGGTGTAAATGTTATTTCAGTAGTTTCATTTGTACTAGGAACTACGGAGGTTTCTCTCTAGCTTAGGATCTTCCATTATTATTCATTTCGAAAAGCAAACAATCAACAAAAGAAAAGTTTCACTAACTTTAATTCGTATAGGTATCATAAAATAATAAGTATTATATGGTTCACTCAATATTATTACTTAACATAAACATATTTTTTTTGGTTATTATATACACTATTCCTTGGAAAAACTTATAGTAATAAATCCCATTTGAATAACCATTGGTTAAAAAAATAAGTTATATTTTTCTAACATTCAGCTCACATACAAATAATTTAAATAAATCAATAATTATCTTCATGATTAAAAAAGAGGGAAAGTAAGTAATAATCTGCTGTGTGGCTGTACAGTTTTAGGGTGTACCTCGTGATTGAGTAGGTCACTGTGATGGATGTGTTACATTTGAATTCAATAATAAATAATTGCATACGAAAAATAATTCTGAGCGGAGACGGTTTGTCAGCGTATTATCATATTAATATATTATTTATTAATTTGAATTATTATAGTAATTTATTTTACAAATAGTAATACGGTATAAACCATAATATATGTACCTAATTATAATAATATAAATTTAAGGGTTAAGTTATATACTCATTATATTAAAACCAATAGTTTTTTGGCACCACTCAAAATCCAAAATATTTCATTGTAACCATCTAAATTATTTTGTCTTTTCATTGATACAAAATTCTAGAAAAAATATTATTATTACATATTATAACCTCTTTCTAGAATAAATACAATTTTAGAGGGACTATATTGTGTGTTAATTTTGTTTGACCTTGTTTCAGTATTAAGAGTTCGTTATCCGAGGATACATGTAAATAATTGGGCAGTATTAGTTTAAAGTACGAAAAATAACAAATCTTTTTGAGAGTAAACAAAAGGCAAAGAAATATCGGCAGACCCTGAAAATGCATTTGAGACATTTCTCCAAAAACATAAAAACCACATTATCTGATAAGTCACTTTTACTTAACAAAGCTATTTTTGGCTGACACGGTGAGTGATTTGGTTATTAGTCACAAGGGTCGTATTTAACAGTCATCTCTCGTTGCTGGTTGCCATTTTTAAAATATCAAGCTTAGTGACATTCATATTTTATCACATGTTGTTATTATAAAACTGTTATAGTTTGTGTTATCATTCCTAAACCCTGGCGCAAACAATAATTTTAAATAAACAATAAAATAATAATTATTTGTAATTGACTATTCAAACACCATTGCTGCAGGTTTTTGTTGTTAAATGGAAATATCAAAACCATTGATAATCTACAGTTGCGAATATATATTTTACTCTCTTCAATTTATTTTTACTTATTTCGTATAAATGTATAATATAATTTTATTACTAGATATCGTATGGATACACGAAAGAACTTTCAAATGCAAAATGATATTCAGGCCAGTGAAAAGGGAGACAGTTTTGTTTGTAAAGTAGAATTATGTAGAACATATTCAAAATGACCCACAAGCCGACTCTTCTTGTTTTGAATATGTTTATTATAATGTTATCTTCTTCTTATAATCTTATATATATAATGGTTTCAAAAATATGAAGCGATGCTAGTTGCTTATGATAGCTTATATTTTAACTTCGTGTACCTACCCATAGCGTAATATGCATACACATCTGTTTATAAAGAAGCAAAATACTAACACACATTTTATAAGACTTTCCAGCACACTTAAGACTGTGCACAAAATTTCAACACAAATGAAATTGTTTAGGAATTAAGTAATCTAAAACATAAAACTTATCTAAGTTTAAATTATAAGTGAGCTAATTTATTTTGATTTTATATGGTCCATTCACAAAATAAAAGGTTCAACTAATAATATGCATTTTTATATAGGAGTTAGGTACCTGTATAATATAATAATAGGTATAATTTTTTAGATATTATTTTATTGAACTACGGGATAACATAAACAAAAATAACTGTACTAAAATGTAATTGCGTTAATATATAGTTGATATAAATAATACAAATTGCCTCATTTCAGACGTGTAATATAATGGATATCCAAGAAAAGTCGATTTTTATTTATTTAAAATCCTTTTATTATCCTTATATTATTATTCTGACTTTATTTGCTCATAACAAGTGAGAACTTTATGGTCTTATAAAACTATGCCAGCAATAAATGAATAATATAATTTATATGATAATTTCTTTCTCTTCACTTGACTTAAAATTCCTATAATGAACAAGAAAAAACTATTTTTAAATTGTATAGTATAGTTTTTACGGTTTTTAGAGCTAAAACCTTTTTTTACTATTATTATTACTGAGATAATTTAGTTATATTTTGCTATTTTAATTTATAAGCTAAATTATGTTTAAAATAAGCTAGGCGTATTGGTTCATTGTTTTTTGTTTTTCTGTACATAATACGTAAATGTAATAAAAACATATTATTATTATTATTATTAACAATGAATATTAATGTGAATAATATACTATACAAAATATTATAAAAGGTCAACAAAAGCACGGAAATAAATAAAATTCTGTGTCGTTGATGTATTTTTTACAAACTGTATAGTTTAATGATGGGGTGATATGGAAATTAAAACGATGGTAGGTACTATAGTTTTCTGAAAGAACGCACTGTGGAATTTACTTTGGGTTCAGACATTCCTTTACAGCAATTATTGATAGTGAACCTGACCAGACCGGATGGCGTAGAAATATAATATATACGTATAATTGGAATAGTTCTGGTCGTTGTTTCCGGCAATACGAATATAGTCCCTATGGAAATTATTCAGTAATACCTGCAAATATTAGCGGGGGCCTAAAGTTAAGGCAGCAACAAGTAACCCCCTCCTGGAATCGCACGCAAATTGCACCCAGGAAATATTATAGTTTTAGCTCACTTATAAGCACACACACAATTGAGTATTAAGCTATTTTATTTCCACCCTAAGTTGTTTAGCATAATACACAATACTGCGTGCCAACACTATACCTACAAATTCAGATTATTTCTTGTGACGATTGCCATTGAACACGATACCTTAAACGGTTCTAACGACGGAGAAGGACAGGTGGAAATATATACTAAATGAAATGTCCAAAACAGCAAAGTTTAATTTGACCCTTGCATTAAGTTCTGTTTAACACTTTTTTTACATTTAACTATAAGTGTAGTGTGGTCGGGGGAGACCTATAATGACGAATAGAGTAGTTATCCAGCAGAGAATGTCTATTCCTAATAGATAAGTTTCCACAGCTGCGGATTGAGCACTATTGCAAGAGATTTTTATCAATAAAAAACTCATTTTTCTTACAACTAAAATTATTAATAGGTATATTTTAATTCATTCTTTACTTTTATGCCTATATTATAGTGAGATGGAGCCCATAGGATTGTACAATTAAGTTTGCTCGTACGGATGGTGAATGTAAAACTAAATTCAGTATGTGGTTTTATTAAAATATAATTATTTATATAGAGCTAAAAAGTTTTTATACTTGAGATAATATATTTTACTTTGGTAAATTCTTCATTGTGTAATTTATAATATATATATATAGAATGTAACGAAAGTTAAGCTATCGGGTACCACAAAATATTACTTACTTACTTGAAAAATGAACTTGGCATATTACATTACAATATTATTATATATTTTCTAGCTTAAATTATAAACGTAATTTAATAATAACAAGCGTATTTTCTAAATGATTAATATTGTATAATATATTGTACACATAAATATTTAAGTACACATAAAAGCGTAAAAAAAAAATTCATCATATTGTTTATTTTCTCTCTAAACACAGACCTCTCGATTCTTAACTATGAACATTATACAGTAATGAAAATATTATAATATGTACATTGAAACTGGTGCTTAACATTTTTTATTAAATAATAGATTAATGAAAACATAAAAATCAGGAATTTATAGTTAATATTTTTGTTTTATTTTATGAGTAAATGATACATTTTAATGTATTTCCCACATTTAGGCCCTTTTTATAGAATTCACTAAAAAAAATCACATGGCATACAATATATTGAAATAGGTATGTTATTATAATTAATATTAATTCAATCATAAGTCAATGTATTTATTCTCAAAAAAATCCCACATCACCCAAAATCATCACAAAAATTATTGTTTACGATATTACGTAGTTATAGTATATAAAATAAAATGGTACATATTACTATATAACTCTAGTATTATATCGTCATTCCGAAAAAAAAAACAAATCAAATGATTCGGCAGTACCAGATAAAGATGAAGATGTCAATTCTGATAATCCACAGCTTCTTCCCCAACTTGGAACGATCATAATTAATGTAATATTAATAATAACCAAAATTGGTTGTTTCAGCAGTCGTCCTCGTAGTCTATGTTTCGATGAAATTACGTAATAATATATTATGCTTTTTTTCAACTAAATATGATTTATGATGGTTTTTACTGTCAATATCTCCAAAATCAGTAGTTTCCATAAATTTGAAGTATTTTTGTTTTTTATTCTTTATGTTAAGCAATACACATTTTATAATTATGTCTAAAATATTAATAATTTCGAGCGGCTCTAGTACCAGTATAGTACCTAAAGACTGTAGATTTAATGAGCATATAATGCTCAGCCCCCCAACCTAGTAATTTCAACACTTATGAATGACTGATATAGAACGTAGGACGTACACATTTTAATTCCATTTGGAACAATTACGTATACAACTATAGCACAAGTAATCAGTAGATATTATCTATATAATTAACTTTTCGACTTTTATATTTGAGAACAAATTCCGAGAAATATATTTATAGACTAATAAAAAAAATTACTATTTACTGATTTGAAACTGACATTTACTGCTTTTTGAACCGTTTACTTATTTTTACACAAACTTCACAAGTTGATTTTATATTATATTTTATTCCAAGTACCTCAATAGGTTAGCTTTATACCAAATTCAATAGTGGTTTTATGTTTTATTTTTGTAAACCTCCTAAAAAGTTCTATAAGTTGATATATCGGAGAAATAGTCCTCTAATGTTTGCTCTTTTGTTGAAGTAATGTAACGCATGACGTGACTTGAAAGTAAAATGCTGTCAAATATAAACCGTCAGAAAAAGAACGTTAGACCACTAGCTCATAATATATGATCAAAAAAAAAAAGAAAAAATTTGAGGTAACGCCTGAATTACTTAATTACTAATTACGAGCAAAAAATTGTTATTTTATTAAAAAATGTAAATATAATATGGTATATATGAACAAATTTAAATACGTAGTTATGTTATTTTAATTATGTATGGTCGTATGGATGTGATTTTCAATTGGAAGTACAGTAGAACTTCGGTTATCCGAACTAATTGCGAGAGCACCTACCTGGGAAACGTGAAAGTTCGGATACTGGCAATTTTTTTAATAATATTATATATTAATATATAGGTACATGCATAATTATTATATAATACATTGATATATTATATTTAATATGTTCATACATATCACGAAAATACATACATAATATTATAATGCGATATTTATAACCCAATACAATTAATATTGAATTATTATATAATACACATAAATTATATTATACACAACAACACGTCTACATAATTACGTGTACAAGCATTACAACGCTTATTGATGTTTGGATAATAGATCGATCTGATACGTAAATTGTATTTGATATTTGTTCCGTTAATAGAGTGTTCTCGTACAACGAAAATCCGGATAGACGAGGTTCTACTGTATATTAATTTTGGAGTAACACAATAAAAAATGAATTACCCATTGTATTTAACACGTTTATCGTAAAGTATGACCTTATACTTCAGAGATGGTTTGTTAAATACTATGCGTCTCATTTGAAAAAATAAAACATACGATTAGACCAGTACATTTTAAATTCACGGTTAGATAAATATTATGAGAAGTTACAAACTATAAATGTCAAAACTAACTTGTTAACTAATTTTCACCGTTGCTCCAATCCCCAATGTCTATTTTAAGCCAGTAGAGAGTAGTTAAATATTATATTGTTTGATCTGAGACAATTACTATACTAATTAAAATACTACAATTATAGTAGTTTTCTAAATGATACTAACATAATATAATCACTTATTAAACTAGCTCATTTCTTGGTGAATAACAAAAAAAAATTCTTCCTTTCGTTGCGCCGTTGATCTCTATAAGGTTGCGATCAAACTTCCAAATGTCGATTTCACGTCGGAATCGAGTGCTTTCGGGAAACAAAACTTGATGCGAATGTTTGCATTTAAGGACAAATATAATAATTACCTGAATTTTAGAGTGAGAGTTAAAAGTAAAAGCCAGATATTATTCAGTATTGCCTTTAATTTTCACATGGTGTATGTTAATAATAATGTATTTAGTACGGACCTTATACTCTGCGATTGATCATTTATTGTTTAAAGAGTTTTTGCTCGAAAACTCTATCTATACATCACTATAATATCAATCGATAGCTAATGCGCTGTGAATTAAATTAATAATATTCTATACACCCACTTATTATGGTCTATACTATATATTATAAGACCTATGCACTTCGCTGTTCCTATGATTACAATTTTGTGTATCTATTCAGTTCACTCATTATAATTGTATATCAAAAAATGCTTATTTTTCGAAGAAGAGGGTGACAAAATCACAAAGATCGATTTATTTTTCAAGAATCATATTATAACAGTATGTATTTTATAAGTGCTTATGTTTATTTTTTCATATTTGCGTGATACTAAATTGTATAGGATGGAACGATATTATATTTGCACGGGCTACACCTGCAACAACGCAAGTGGACGTTTGTAAATAAACGTGCAATGTGGTGGTGGTAAAATAATATAAAACAAAACAACAGTGATAATAATCGTCGTACGTGTATTGTATTAATGAGTACCTATAACAGCAGCAGCCGACGGGGCGTACATTTAGTACTTGATAGGATACGACAACATGCTACTGCGCTGCCGTAGTCACAACGACGACAGAATAATAATAATAATAATCTGTATCGTCGTAGAATAAAATTGATCGGAAAAACAATGCTATACGTGGAATAACTAAATAGTTATCTAACCATCATCGGAAAAAAAATTATTTCAGCATCACTCGAACACGTTTCTACTGCTGCAGCAGCATTACCAGGGCGATCGGGTTGTGATTTATAAGAATTTTGCAAGTTTTTAGGTTCTACTTTTTGACATTGATGGTGGGGGGAGTCTCAACGATTGTGGATATTGAAAAAAATATTTTTGTCACACTAATATTCAAATATTTAAAACTTAAAAATCTAGGGGGAAACAAAGTTGTTAATTGATATTACCTAGTACCTACACAGGTTTATTACGTTATAATATTATGCAAATCAAAACATTTGGACACGATACTGGATTTGTCAAGCTTCACTCACCTCGTAGCACAAATATGTGGTAAATTACAATTAACGGTAAATCATCTCATTCGAACAATATGGATTCTGAGTGAACCAAAGATTTCAAACAATTATTGAGTATATAAATTAAACTACACGAGTAACCACTATTCATTAGAACTCAATACTAATTAATATCCAAAGGCCCAGAGCGATCGAATTATTACATTTATAAAAATAAATTTCATTTTAATTCCCGCTTCTTGATAAAAGTACCATCCTAAGTATACCTAACCTATCTATAAATAATCTCGTATATGGTGGAATAGGTTCTCTCGCCCTCTCTCTCTCTCTCTCTCTCTCTCTCTCTCCCTCCCTCTCTCTCTCCCTCCCTCTCTCTCTCTCTCTCTCTCTCTCTCTCTATACATATATATGAATTTTATCACGTATCCCTCAATACCGTTGTACTATGTAAACATAATTTTAATTTTGCACCCACAGTTGTTCATGATTGACAATTGCGCGGACGACTGGCGGATCGCGATGACGTGGCAGCGGATCGCCACCATCACGATGGAGCTGGTGATCTGCGCGATCCACCCGATCCCTGGCGAGTATTACTTCGAGTGGAAAACCAAGCTGGCCAACAAGCACGGAAAGCTGGAGACACGGTGGGTGCCATACGACGTGCCGCTGTCGCTGCCGATGTTCTTCCGGCTGTACCTCATCTGCCGGGTCATGTTGCTGCACAGCAAGCTGTTCACGGACGCATCGTCCCGCAGCATCGGCGCCCTGAACCGGATCAACTTCAACACGAGGTTCGTGCTCAAGACGCTCATGACCATATGCCCGGGCACGGTGCTCCTCGTGTTCATGGTGTCCCTGTGGATAATCGCCAGCTGGACGCTCAGACAGTGCGAGAGGTAAAAACCAACCGACCGTCGCGGCGCGCCAAGCGACCGTCGAATTTATTATAATATTACATTATTGTTATTGTTATTTAATCGTATCGTCAGCACTGCAGTGACGCTGAGTACGGACTTTAGGAGGGGCTCATTAAATCACCTGACATTACACGTGGGAATAAAAATAGTAAATTGAATTATAAGACTATAAAATAATTTTAATATAGAGCTCCATTAATATGAAAATTTAATTTTTACGAAATGTTTATTAAAAAAAAAATCGTCATTACAATTGAGATCAAATTCTATTTAGTTTTTTTCTAACATTTGCTTGTTCTCATGAAAATCAAAAACTCAATAGTATAAAAGAAAAGTTATTTTAAACATTTCAAAACCTGAGGTGGGTCATGCGTAAGTAGTCATTGGTCATATAACTGTAGTCAGAATTGAAACACATTTTTTAACAGAACTCTGCGTCACTGTAGTATAACTTTTTATTGAAATCTACACAATGGTTATGTTCCGAGATTATTTTTTCGGTATTATTGACCGGGAGTCTCCGATTCCGCATCGGTACAACTCTTTACATAAGATTGAAAACTAACGGATGCCTTATCGACACTCGGTATGTGTATACTGTATATAATATATGCATTATACATCCATAATATATATTTTGATCAACGCTGTTGATCTAATTGTTCGAGAAGTTTCAATTGTTTTCGTTGTAATATAACTCCCGTTTTCGGACCGTTCGATTGTGATCTTCGGACACAACGGAAACTTTCTATATTATATGTTCTCTGTCCGTCGTGGGAATAATAATAATATTATATTATACGTGATAAATACCGAGTTAAGCCAATAACGGTGTATTCTATTATAGTATAATATTATGATTGTAATAGACACTTGCCCATCCGTGTACCAAAAATAATATTATATTTAATATCGTTTTGCAACAGTTCAATGTGACGTCAGGCATGACCGGTCATAATATTAATCTCCGATCAGCCGTATGTGTGTAGTATTGGCAGTAGGGATAAGACACTCTATACATTACTTGAACAAATGTACAAGTCAAAATAATTATATAAATGTAGTTTATTGAGTACAATAGTACTTGGGTATAACAAAGGCAAAATTCTATACGAGAATACAAGATACAGATACCCTTATATTGAGCGCTAGTCTCTCTTCTCTCTATAAATATTTAGGTACATAACTAATCATATTAATAAATCGTTTTTAGATTGTATAATCTTACAAATCTATTTATAATGAATTCGAATATATTCCTGAAAAGTTTTAAAATCAATCGTTTCATTTAGTTGAAACATTAAACTTGAAGTGCAATAACATTTTTGGATTCTGAGCGGAGCGATGAATTTATTGATTTTACAATGATGTGTGTTTTTTTTTTGTGTCTGACCGGTCTGTGTACACGATAAGTAGTTGAAATAATGCTTCAATTTTCAACTTCAGTATCTTTTTCGATGGGAAAGTGAATCTAGTTGGGGAGGTCAAAATCCTATAATCCTATTAGTGTTCAAAAGCATCGAGAAAAAAAAATTAAGGAAAACCAGGAATTTTTACGCTAAATCGGTTTTCAACAAAATCGTTTTGGTTTTTGGTGTAACTCTAAAACAAATCACCATAGATACATGAAATTTAAGCTGGTTGATTATATTAGCATTTCTTATACACGATCAATTTTTCAAAATATTTTGATTTGTTTTGAACTGTTTAAGGACATTTTCAGTTTCCAATTTTTTTAAGTTTTTTTTCTATGAATGTCAATAAAATTTTATTTGTTGAGTAAAAAAGCTTGAAAATTTAATAAGTCTTCCACTTATCATTTTGCTCAACTGAATATTATAGTTTATCAACGTGTCGTTACTGAAAGTAAACAATTTAACCACTATCAGTAATTTATGTTTCGTTCAGTTACTTAAATAAAAATAACAATCACCTATACCAGCAGATTATTGTTTCTTTTCATAACCGTATCCTAACCTCCATCAAACAGATGACCGTCGAAACTCGCAAATATCAGTAGGACAAACAGTGCTACCTGGTGGTTTGTTTTGTGTGTTCAGAGTTTTTAAAACAATCTCTATGGTGATTACCAACCTATATAATATTATATTTATATATATTTCATAGCTTGGTTTGCGACTGTTAAAAGGACGCAATATTTTTCCACTCACTCAAAGTATACATATACTGGCCGAGCAAAACTAAACCATCGTTTTGCCAAACAATTCGACCTAAACTAGTACCAAACGCGTTTTTGCTCTCTTTCTACATTTTATTCCTCGGCACGTTGAACAAATGTCGGTAAAAATCCAAACCTTTTTCATTAGAGTACATACATAATATATACACACATATTGTATATATATATATATACAATTCAATTGTACCCCTCGCGTTTGGCACAGTAAAGTGCTTTTTTTATAAAAATGTACGCATGCAATATTTGAACAGTCATGTTATTTGAAAATAGCATGAACTAATTCTTCAGAGACGACGACCAGACATTGTAATAAAATTAAATTCCGTCATTGAAAAAAACTGAAACGTGGTAGCGCTTCACGTTACTATTTCATATGAGTATTATAAAAAAAAAACATCTATTTAACTATGTATAATAAATTCATTGGAAAATAAGAACAAATTTTAATCACCAAACAAATGTTAATCATTTTTTTTTAAAAAAAAAAACGATACGAAAAACGTACGATGTTCATATTTAAAAATTATGCTAAACAATGCACAAATGTGAACCACTGATATGTCAATACGTCATATCCATTCAAATCTCTCATAACAATAATTAGTGTTTCATAATACTTACAACGAACCCACGCTTTGCCTTGTTCTGTGTTTAGCTCATATTAATAATATGATTACAAGAGGTCATTCTAATTAGACGAAACGCCAAATCGTTCCAAACATTAAATACGGTATGTACACTCGTTGTTCACCACACAACGCCGACTAACTGTGCCTAAAAGGAAAAACTAATCAATGTACATTTGTACGCAGTACTTTTTCAGCAATTCATCACTAAAAAACACCCCAGTACGAGCATTTCCAGTCCCCTACACAAAATCACGATATGACATTAGACAACGCGTACACCGATAAATTTCAAACCTAATAACATTAACACTTATAGTAAATCAGATTCATTCCAAAAACATCAGAGAATATTTTTTCACTACCTATTTTTTATTTATTTCTGTACCTCGTCACGTTAGGAAAATTATTGAAGACAGTCATCTGTCATACGTGCTACTCTTCAAATACAAACATATAACACGCATTCGCGCTTATATATCAAATAATTTCGATACAAAATCCGTGTAAGTAACTCCTCCCACCGGACGTTTTGGCAAAACTTTGCACATACCTCAACTCCATTTGTCGAACGCTTGTAGTAATAGTAACATTTATCACCAGTAATTCGCATTGTCATGGGCGTTCTCACGGGGGGGGATATGGGGGATAGATCCCCCCCCCCAAGGTTCTTTATTTTTTTACATATTAGTAATACACGTTTTGTCTACTTTTGATATGTGTTTGTGTTTTCAATATTGACTTGGTAGTTATTATTTTATTTTATTTTTGCAATTTTTCTTTATCGTGATTATTGATTCCACCAGCCATAAACAATATTATTATTTATCACTGATAATTATAACATGTAACAGGCAATTCGCTTTCCAATTGATTTGTACTGTATTTTTGTAAACAATCACTCCGTCAACTTTATAAATTCCCAGCGTCAGAAAAAATGTAAAGGTAAGATTCACAATGATAACACCACAGTGATAAAATAAAATAAATAATTTAAACCAGGGATGGAAAACGTTTTTAAAAAACGTTAGTAAACGGAAAAAAAAACGAAAACAATGAATAAAACAAAAACAAAAAACCATAACAAAAAATTCCAAAAACAGAAAAAAAATTAATTACGAAATCAAAAACGAAAACGCAAATAAATTATAGTATTGTACATTATTATATTAATAACACGAAAAAAAAAATGTTACCTAAGTATTTACTTTTTAATCTTTACCAACAATGCTCTATTAAAATTTAAAAACATTTTTATTTGAAATCAAGAATAATTAATTTTAATTTTTAACTCTTAAGTGCATTTCTTAATTGCTAAATTTACTACTATAAAAAAAAACAATATTATCAAAAACAATATAGAAAAATAACGTTTTTAAAAACGTTAATCAAAAACAAAAACGAAAAAATTAAAAACATTTTTCATTCCTGATTTAAACTGATTCATAACATTCTTTTATAGTTTAAATAAAAAGAACAATAAATATGACTTGAATTGATTATTTGATATTATCAACTATATTACTATCAATATTATTAGATTCTGAGCGGAGTGAGGGATCTATTGGTTTTTCAATATTGTTTATATTTATTTTTATTTTATCCTGCATATAAAATTTCTACCAGAAGCAGTTCTTCGCTTTTAACATATTATAGTATATCTTTTCTTTTAGCAAATTTTATCAAGATGATACTTTAGAGTGGTAATTTTTCAATTTTCTCAATATTTATTTAATGACACATTACAATTTCACCGACAAATTTCAAAAACCGCTAAAAATGTGATTTCAATTTCTAACACTTTGTTTATCACCATTGTAACAAATAAAATAAAAATAATGATTTTAGTTATTTTATCGTAATTTATAATATTAAGTCAACTTACAGGCTATAATAAAATATAATTACAATATAAAATATCCAGACTGACAAACCGTCTCCGCTCAGAATCGTTATTCGTATACCATGATATGATATCATTGAATTCAAATTTAATACAATCCATTATACAGTGACTAAGTATTGTAATCTACTGTACAGCAGAGTGACATCCACTTACCCGCTTTTTTAATATTCATTATTATAATATGGGAGTTGTGAGGCAAAACCCTTAGGTACGGCTTATTTTGAAACCATTTTTTTCATCCCCCTCCATTG